ACCAAAACAAATATTTAACTCCTGAGAAAGTCAAATAAGACGGTGTGTAAAACTACACTGCCCAGCCAAAAAAAAAAGTAACCACTTTGATTTAAGTAGGCGAATAGGTAGGACTTTCCACTGGATAATAACTGCAGCGATGTATATATTTTAGCTGAATACACCTGATATAATTACTTGTCTTTCAAATTTGAAGGAGGGAACATTCATCATTAACTCCTCTAGAAAATATAGTTTATTCAATAATAAATGAATATGTGAATCATAACAGTGATTGACAGCTGATAGGAATAATATGATTGTTAATAGTATCACATTCATTCAGACAAACATCGATCAGACAGTTAATTAATGTACTTATTTCAGCAGTCTTCATAGATTTGGTACCCCTGCTGGTCTAAGAGTCAAACAAACTCATTCAGTTATCGTTCAGTTAAAATTCATTAAATTATGTCTGCCACCTTATATATTTATATGTAAGGCTTTACTGTGCGCGAGGCTCCCACACCAATTGAAAATGGAAGCAGAGCTACGAGCAATGGGTTTTCACGTATTTCTCAAACGTACATTCCCGCGGCCAGTTGTGCTCGTTAAACAGATTTGTAATCGTTTTCACGTGGTGGTAAGTCTGCCTCTTTACGTGAGTCCAAAGCATAGAACAGGAAAGACCAAAAATCGCCGACATGGGGGGGGGGGGTACGTGTCATTGTCAAAGGTGCAGTCCAAATACTTACGATGTCGCTGTGTCAGTCGCTAGATGAACATCAATTGAGTTAATAATAGTATGTACCACACTAAAAATCATAAACACATAAGAACTACAATAAATAAAAAAACAATTTCAAAGTCATAAGACAATAGATACAACATAGGCTAATAAATTATGCTAACATATAGCTAACAACGAGAAAGGAATCCCTTTACCAGAGAACCTTATAGTAGAGAGGCCTGTTCAAGTCAAGAGTATACGGTTACGCTACGATGTAACGCTTCCTTATACAGTCAAAGCGAAGGCTATGCCTCTCGGAGGTTGTTCCGATCTTACAATGAGTAAAGATTAAGATAAAATACATAAAGATATCATAGAAAGACTGAAGGTGGTAGTAGACAGGAAAGAGTGTGATGTATAATATATAGTATATGTGAGTGTGATCAAAGTAGAGATGTGTAGACGAACCGTTAAAACTACAACTCACAACAGGTCGTCGAGAGGAGAAACGAACGCGTAGTACGAGTTAAATTTGTACTAGTGTTAATGTAGAGGTATTAGTGATATATTGAAGTAGATGTATGAAATGGTTTTCTTGGCTCTAATTGCCAAAGACCAAAAATTTATACTAATTTCATTAGTTGATCTTATGTGAACTAATATAAAGTAGGTGAATTTGATAACTGATTTATAGAACTGTAGTCCCTTCAACTACAAGGAAAGAGAACGAAGCGACAGCACCGGCTATGTGACGGAGGAAGAGTCAGGACACTATATTCTACGTATATAGGTACCGGACAAGCACTCGTAAAGATTAATAATATAATGAATAAAATTAACGAATAGAGAATGTAACATGGTATAAAGATGTTCATTATTCGTAATCAAACTCAAAAAGGAAGTTATAATAGGAGAATTAATACACGGAATAAAATAAACGTTCATTCACATCAAAAACAAATTTTACTCAAAACAAGAATTATACGAGACGAGTATACCACAAAGGATTATTACTGTACATGGTGTTCGTATACAATAAGAGAGGTATTTTATTATAGGGATATTAGAAAAATTGATTATATCTAGAGAAAGAATACATAATTATCATGTAACTATTAGAATAATTCAAAATTAACACAGATTTATTGAGTTTTAATGCCATAAAGATAGATTCTTGTAAAGAGAATAAAATAATTACTTCAGAAACAAAGTATTGGTATTCGATATCAAAACTGAGATTAACAGGGACTTGTCTAAGGATAAAGATTTCACGAGGACAAGTGAGAAAACAATTTATGTAAATATCGTATAAGTGTTGAATGGACTTTAATTGGAGTTTGTCAGTACTTGTTTCATCCGTGTGAGCAAAAGTTCATATTAGACAAAAATTAATTATCTTCAGAGTGATTTCTCTCAAGCCTGCGTATGGTTTTTGTGACAGTTACAAAAGAGGAATTACCGACTCTTGATGTATAAGTACGACATGAAAAATTATATATTGTCTAAAAAAAAAATTATTAAAATAAACACTGTATAGAAACACAACTAAGGACAAAACATACATGAATGAATTTTATATCCACCATGACAAGAGAAGAGCACAAACATGACAGAAGTCGCACTAATGTATCTAAATTTGTCATGATACGGTTATGAGAAAACTCTCGGTCCCTTACTCGTCGGTAACGAGGAAATAATCGATAAACGGGGGGGTTTTTAGGTGACTGTAAGTTGCCTCACTTTATGTTTTTCTTACATATGTTCCGTGTCCGGAAATTACTAGAGATAGTACGTTACACAGTATGTAGTCTAATTGTGTATCCTGGCGATTTCACATTGTTCATTTATATGATTACGATCGACGTCCCGCCTAGATCTGTTTATAATACCCCACTGTCTCCCACCGTCCCTAAAACTCCCACCGTAGGACGTCTTCATATACGACTAAATTAGTGGTCAGTATAGTTTAGTTACAATTGAACCTTTCGTGTTATAATTACTAATTAAGTTTATTGTATCCACTGTAATCAACNGCTGAATTGCGATTAACTCCTAATAATCTACAATTGCACCAAGGTGTGCGTATATGTACAATCATCATTTACATGAATGATATTACCCGATCAGCAGCTGAGCTGCTGATCGGGTAATATCATTCATGTAAATGATGATTGTACATATACGCACACCTTGGTGCAATTGTAGATTATTAGGAGTTAATCGCAATTCAGCTTAAACAGATGAAATGTTATGTGGGAAAAAAAAGGTATGAATGTATTTTATGTTGATAAATTCTATGCTATAATATATATAATATATACGTAGATGAACTCAGACGATTGCTAAAAAACATCAGGTAGGATTTTCTGTGAAATGGCAAGATGGGTGGGAAGAGGGGGGGATGGGGTGGCATGGGAAAGGGATTCCCTATTTTTTTTCTTTCTTTGTCTTTTCTTTTTCTTTTTGTATTGTCTATATTGTCTATATAATTTGTATCTGTATAAGTCCCTTTTGTGAGGGCAAAAAAAAAGCAACAATAAAAATTTGGTCACAAAAAAAAAAAAAGGAAGGTCTTAAGCGCACTCTTAAAAACGGATAGGGTGTCTGCCGCCCGAACACAAACTGGAAGCTGATTCCACAAAAGTGGAGCTTGATAAGAAAAGGCTCTGGCTCCCATTGTACTTTTAGAGACTCTAGGAACAACCAACAACCCTGCATTCTTGGAACGCAATGCCCTAGTAGGAGGGTAGGGTATAATTAGTTCTTTAAGGTAAGATGGCGCCTGCCCATTAAGGGCTTTGTAGGCGAGAAGAAGAATTTTAAATTCTATCCTGTGTTCTATAGGGAGCCAGTGTAAGGCAGCCAGAACAGGAGTAATGTGGTCCCTTTTCCTAACTCTGGTTAGTACACGAGCTGCAGCATTTTGAATCAGCTGAAGNGACTTAACTGACTTCTTGGTACTCCCTGATAATAAAGAGTTACAATAATCCAGCCTTGAAGTAACACATGCATGGACTAGTTTCTCTGCATCGTTTTGAGGCAAGATATGCCTGATTTTTGCAATGTTACGTAGATGAAAGAAAGCGGTCCGTGAGATTAGTTTTGTGTGGGCGTTAAAGGATAAATCCTGATCAAATATAACACCAAGATTCCTTACAGTCTCAGTGAAGGCCAAATTAATGCCATCCAGAGTTAGTGTATCTTTAGAATGTTTCCTAGATTCTTGGTGGTCAAGAACAATAACAGTTTTGTCCGTGTTTAAAAATCCAAGTTTATAAGTCCTTGAGGCAATTTTGAATTTGATTGAGAGTATCATGTCAAATGAAACGAGATTCTTCAAGCTTAGTGGAACGCCATATCCTTTCAAGTTGTCTCTTGAAGACTTTTGCTTTATTTTGCGGGTTTCTGCGTTATGCCATGGAGCTAGTCTATGTTGTTTTACTTTCTTCTTTTTCAAAGGAGCAAGTGCAACTACATGATCAAATTTGGATGGTGAAAATGTTGTATAAGTTTCCTCCCCTACATGCAGACATGCTATCGAGTTAAGAGTTGATGGAATCTCTTCCTTAAATTTGGCTATAGCACTAACAGAAATATTTTGTACTGCAGGAACTTTTGACTAATGGTTTTTAGTCTAGTAACACAAATTCAAAAGTTACAAAAAAAATGGTTGGATAAAGCAGGATTATGCGGTTCGACTAATAGTTGCTCATTTCAATACGATAAGTCAGAACAAGGTCGAGAGTGTGATTATAATAATAATACATTACATTTATATAGCGCTTTTCCTGGTGCTCAAAACGTGTATAACAGTGGGTTAGGTTATTTACACTTTTACTGAAACCAACAGAATCTAATACAGAGTTAAATGCAACAGAAAGACTATTTGTATCATCGTCAACATGAATATTAAAGTCACCTACGATAATACCAAAGTTGATAAAAACTCAGAGAATTCTGAATAAGGACCTGGGGCACGGTACACTGTAACAAATAAGATTTATTGCAATGTTTTCCAGGTCTGAAAAACAAGGCTTTCAAAGGAGGTATAATTTAATTTAGTATTGATAAATAAACTTGAGTCAAAGATGGCTGCAAATCCACCTCCTCGGCCTGTGAAATGGTTATGTAAATATGTGTGTTATCTGCATAGCTTTGATAACTTATTTTATGATTTTTATATTTTATTTGTTATTATCTGAGCCAGTGGTAGCATGTAGATGTTAAAGAAAGAGGCCCCAAGATTGAGCCTTGAGGAACCCCATATGTCATATGTGTCAGTTGTTAGTACATGTTAGTAATAGTGCCCCTTTCTGTTTTGACTCTAGGCATCATCTCCATCGTGATCTTCACTGTCCTCTGCATCATGGTGTTTGTGATCCGTCACATGTTCCGCCACAAAGGTTCCTACCACACCAACGAGGCCAAGGGGGCGGAGTCAGCAGACTGTGCTGACGCAGCGATCATCGTCAACGACCCGGCCTTCACTGAAACCATCGACGAGAGCAAGAAGGAGTGGTTCATCTGAGCCGCCCTCACCATGGACATATGACATTAGGATGTATGTAGTTTTTTAAGCATAGGTAGTAGTGGTGAGGGCCCCACCTGTGGACCCTCCAGGATGTGCCAAGTTGGTTGGTGGTTTATTTAAAGAATGATGGACACCATGGCATCACAGCATGGGTATTAAAGCACAGGGCTGCCTGCTAAGTGTGACAGGACCACAGCCTCAGGTGGTGAAGATGCGAGGGACTGTGCTCATTAGCTTTTATTTGAGTGTTTATTTGTATCACTGTTTATTTCATTTTGTTAAATAATTGATCTTATTTCATTTTTTGTTTTTCTTTTTTGTTTTCATAATTAGTTTTACTTTGTTTAAGTGTATTTATTTTTTCCAGATTAAGATCTTCTATGCCTTGCGGGTATATAAGAAAAATAATGACATTTATTGTAATGATCATTCATCCCAATCTCATTGTCTTAATCTTTTAATTTTAAATTTATTTCAGTTAAGTGAATTTCTGACTGAAGCGTGTGTGTGTGTGTGTGTGTGTGTGTGTGTGT